TTTTTTTTTTTTTTTTTTTTAGTATATTGTAGCTGAAAATGGGTGTGTATGGGGGGGAGTTCAACTTTTAGGACAAGATGAAAGGGGACTTCAGAAAATTTCTGGAAATTTTAAATCCGTGCTGAACTCGAAAGCATGGTGAGGAACCCAGAGAGGCACCCAGGCCCGGAGCTTCTGTTATGCCCATGTTGACATAAACCGCCTCCTACTTTTAAGCTTCAGGAGAATGGAGTGAAAACCTGTTTCGTTTTGTGAAGACCTGCCCTGGGTGTGTGTTGGGCCGTGTCCAGAACAGAAGCGTCCACGTTTCTATGAAAAACGCGACTGTGTGTTGTTTGACGTTCCAGGCGGAAATTCGGATGCAGTGTCTGGGAGATGTGTCTTGGTTGGAGTAGTGGAGTCAACCAGGAAAATCAGCTCCTGGAGGTGCAGTGTTTGTGCAGTAACCCACTTGGGATGCTGTGATGGACTGCTGCGGTTCCCACCAGCCTCTTCCCTGGAAAGTACTTAAACAGCCCGACTCTCAAGTCGGGAGGCACAGAGAACTCTTAGGACGCGGGGCACGCTGGTCTGGCCCGCGCAGGGTGGGTTCTCCATCAGCCCTAGGCCTTGCCTTCTTTGCAGGTGGTTTGACCTTGAAAGGAATGAAGCTCCCTTTTAAGATAGGACCCCCTATTCCGTCCCCAAAGTATATATAGATGGGAGCCTTTGTGTAGGAATGGGAACCATCCTCATAGTGCTCTCAAGAGATCAGGTAAAACTTGTTGACCAGCTCTCGAGCTTTCCCCTTATTTTTTCCACTTTGCCCTTACGCTTTCAGGACTTTCTGGACGATTTCATTTATGATTTTGTCAAAATCACAGTTGAAGTAAAATTCTCCTTCTCTAGAAATGTCTCTTTTGCAAAAACATTTAGACAAAAATTTGGTGATCGTTTCTAAGTCAAACCCTGGGGAAATGACTTCAGGAATTCAGCATTATCATGGTGAAATTAGGCTGGGAATGGGAAATAAAAAATAACTAGTTTAGCCCAGCCAGGTGTGGCTCAGCGGTTGAGTGTTGACCTAGGATCCAGGCGATCGGGGTTCGATTCCTAGTCGGGCACATGCCCGGGTTGTGGGCTCAATCCCCAGTCGGGGGCGTGCAGGAGGCAGCTGATCAATGACTCTCTCATCATTGATGTTTCTCTCTCTCTCCCTCTCTTTTCCTCTCTCTGAAATCAATAAAGATGTATTTAAAAAATAAAAAATAATAATTTAAAAATTTACTATTTATAACAATTAGCTGTTGCCTTGTTATTAGTGTTTGTACTACGTAGAAGTGTAGGGAAGGACACATCAGAAGAGGAGAGGAGTTGTCTACCAGATAGACGATCTTACCACTTACCAGCAACTAATTAGATTAGAAAGGGAATTTGGAGTCTGGTTGCTAACTTTGAAGGACTTGATTTACAGTTTCTGATTGGTGCTTTTCCCAAGAAATTTTGTTAACTTGGGTCGAATTAGGGGCTCTTTTACTGTTTTTATTTAAAATTTTGTGTTGTGTGTAAACATTCCATTTATTTATAAACACTTCATTTATAAGTGCTTGTTGTATATATGCTGCTAATTCGCTTTCAGGAGAAAAGGGAGGAGGGCTCTACTTGATTCTTTTCAAGTGTATGGAATATACTGACTGTCACTTTAAAACTATTAGATTACAATTAAGTGAAAAACTGGCTTGTTGGTTTGTTTTTATTTTAATCCTTCAAGTTTTCCCTCATTGTTTGTGCTCTTTCCCCCACTGTCAGGCTTAAAACATACAGTATCATTGTCATCTGTCCCCTGAATAATGGTCCTGAGGTGATATTATTAATGTGGCTTTTTAAAATCAAACTAATTATACTTGCCTAAAAGAGCCACATGTGTGTGATTCTAGCTGCCTGGTGCCTTTTGAGAGCCCTGGAGACAAGCTAGTGAATAGAGCTGAAAATTCATTCTGTATTTGATTAAATGGAACAGACTCGCTGCTCCTTACCCCAGCAGGGGCTGTGAGATCTCTTGATCCCCGAAGCGGCTCCGAGACCCTGGGAATTCCATTAGCGAGCACCTGAGGAATTTCTGCCCTGCAGTGCCTTTTTGTGTGTGTGTGTGTGTGTGTGTGTGTGTGAGAGAGAGAGAGAGAGAGAGAGAGAGAGAGAGAGAGAGAGAGAGCCGAGGGAGTGGAGTGGAGTGGCGAGGGGGGAGTGTGTGGGGCGGGGAGAGACTGCATTAGAAGACTCCATATGTTAGCAGATCTAAAATCAAGGCATGACTTAACAGCTTATCTCATAAGAGAGGAGCCCAACCCAAAGGCAGATTGCTAGTCAGGACTCTCCTGCAAGCAGCACGGCGGTGTGTTCGCAGCCCTGCAGTGAACGCCACTGCTGAGTCCAGAAAGTCACTTCTCTGCTTTCCCTCTGAAGCACAAGCTATACACGTCACAGATCTGGTAAGTTTTCTCTGAATGATCTTTTGATAAGTATGTAAAATTGTGTTACAGTTTGGTCTTGCCTGTAAGGGTGGATGTATTGTTTCCATAACTTTTTAAACTGAGAGCTGAATCTGTCTTTCATGTGAAGCAAATCGTTTTTGCAGAGGTGAAATGCCTGTTTGAATAGGCACATTTTAGTTTGCGCTTTTGTTTTTATATTACTTTATTGTGTATTTGTTATGTTATAGAATTTAAATTCATTTAGGGTATGTCTCTTCTGTTTTTTAAAGAAGTCTTTCTGATTTCTAGTATTTTTTTAAGGAATTGCTTTGCAGACTTGCTAGCAGCCACAAGTAAATGAAAATATATCTACTAAAAATATTCTGTAAACATTTTTGGAGCAAAGTTTTTGGGAAATATTAGTGTATCTGCCCCCCTCCCTTAACCCAAATAATTTTTTGGATACATTTTTCAGAATGTTAGCCCAGTTTGTTTCTTGTATACTTTTCAAGGAAGAGTTGTTCTGAATCTTGGATGCTGTAGTTAATTGATTTTCATCTTTTGAGAATAGTTGAACATGAATCTGAATTCTACTGCTTGTGGATTTCAAGTAATGCAGAAGAGTGCAGTAGCTTATTTGATGGTTAATTTGATATTCTGTTCTTGATTAAAACCATGTTGTATATCACAGCTCTTTCCATCCTATTACCATGTAGTCCTACCAAATTCTCCTCACGATACAGAATGTTTAGAAAATAAAGAAGCCTTTTAGAGAATATGTTTAATTTTTTTTTCCACTTTAATCCTGGGCACGTCTTCTACTAGTATGGCCAGATTGAAAGGACTCTTGAATGAATTGGAGTAAACACTGAAGTTAGCATTGTCCCTGTCTTGGTTCATAGTTGTCCAGTTGCTTTGCTGTGTGATGTATTTTGATAGCCACAAATAATGAAAAACTGCCCCAAAGAATATTGTTTCTATATATCAGTTGGAATGTGAGTAGGGACTTCAATTCGTGAGAGCCAGTGATGTATCTTTAATCATAGAATTAAGGAACTGTGAAGTACACCTTACTTGAACTTAGGTTATATGTTCTGCTCATGTTTTGTTGCTTGGAACTGTGCTTGATTTTTTTTTTTTTTATATTCCTCTAATTCAAACAGAGAATTAAGAACTTGACATTTAGCTTGCCCCTCAGCTATTCTTGTTACGGACTGGCTCACCTCTATTTATGTGAGCTCGCACAGTGATCTTGACCTAAGCTTTGGTTTTCTGCTCTACAAAATGGGGTAATAACAATAGTATCTCTTACCACTGTTGTGGGGATTACAAGAGACAATGAAAGCAAAGCGCTTGGCATAGGGTAAAACCTCTGTGAATGTGAGCTACTGGTATTGTTAGTAATTCCTCCTGTATGTTAGTCTACTTTGATCCAGACGTGATTTCCTTGAAGTACTAAATAATGAGGAATTCTCAGAAGTTAGTGATCATGTGGGCACATGTAACTGTCGTAGTCTTAGTGTGCTACAGTTCTCTTAATTTTGCAGTTGAAACTTGAAAGACACTTGGAAACAATGTGTTGCATTTTTTCCAGTTGAGGTATGATATAGAAGTGTACACAGGCACACATTTACTGTGCACTAAATGAAAGCTAGATGGAGTTTTACAGGTGCACACACCGTTGGTAACCATTGCCCAGATCAAGATATAGAACATTTCCTTAACCTCAGAAGGCTTCCCAGACAACACCTAATCTATTCTGACTATAGATCAGTTTTTGTCATAGATTAGTTTTGCCTGTTCTTGAACTTTATAAAAATGGACTCATACAGTATGTGCTCTTTCATACCTGGTTCCTTATACTGCTTATTACGTCTGTGAGATTCATCTGTTATCTTGTATGGTAGTGATACATGCATTTTAAATAGTTGTAATATCTTTTGTGTGTTTTGGAATGTGTAGTAGTTAATTTTATTGGCACACGGGGCAGATGGTCATTGGGAGAATAAATAACACTACTTCTTCCTAAGTTACTAGAAAATCAGATCCCAGTGGCTAGCTTAGAAAAATAACCATGACCTTATTTTTATACATAAAAATGGGTTGAAGGTAATATAATTACCTACAGTTACAATTCCACAAATCAAATTCTGTGATAACTGCATTTATCTTATTTTTTGTTTTTAGAAGGGAATGGAGGGAGCCTCAAAATAGAGGACCATCTAAGTCATCTTATGTCCTTCATTTTTAGGATTTAGTGCACTAATCAATACTTAGAATTGTACAGAAGGGGTAATGCATTACCCCAGCATTAGTGTAACATTCTTTTAAAAGGAAACAAAAAAACACAACGTTATTTTGAAGAAAAAAAAAAAATCCACTATAAATGGAAGAAAATGGAGCTAGGATGTTATACTACAAGAAAAGTTTAAAGAACAGGACTGCTCACTTACATGGGCTATATAACCTTAACCATTGCTGGCCGGCCATGCCTTTGTGTTTAGAATTTCTGTTTGTAGTGTTGGAATTCTCTAATATGGCAAATAAAATTTATCTCCCCAAACAGTGAAACAAGAATACCAGATGATGTTGATGAATCAGAAGTTTTTGTTCTTATTTAAATTTTGGAGGGAGCCGTGGTTGAGATGAATAATATTTCTGTCCTTGGAAATGTTGAAGGATTTTTCTCACTGCTCTGCTTGAACACAAGCCCCTTCTCTCTCAGGCGACATTGTATTTCCAGCATTTGTAGTTTTATTAAATCTATTATTCATAGTTCCTTGACACAAGGTCATTCTTCATTTACAGCCCTGTGCAGGGATGGGTTCCCCTGCACTCCAGAGGGGCAAGTTGTCCCCCTTTCTTCTTCAACCAGACCACCAGTAGCCAAGATTTCAATGGGGGTGGGGAGAGTTGAAGTAGTGATATATGATGCATCTTTTGTTCCATCGGGACACTCAAAAGATGCAGATTTTGTTTCAAAAGAAGGAAGAACTGTCTGACAAATAGAGCTGCCTCATGATAGAAAATGCTCTTTGGAAGCAGCATGAGCTCCTTATGACTAGACATGTTCCAGTGGTGGTTGCAAAAGATGCTGTGGAAAGGTTCACTTCCTTGGGGGACAAATTGGACCCCATGACCTGTCAGGGTCTTTGCACTATGGAGACTCCCTGAAACAGGCTTCTGCGTGCTGGCGCTCGCTTAAATGTGATTCTTAGTTTTCACTAATAAGTGAATGTCCTAGATTCTGCCTTTCCCAATATCCTAAGCACAGTGGTATCAGACATGATAATACCTTACAAGGCTAGTAGCTGCTTCCTTTCTATGTAGGTACACACCTGAGAATTTATTTGAAGCCATCTGTTGGCCTAGTTATTTATTCACCCCTACAACAAAGTATATATAAAGTAAAAATTAATAAATGTATCTCTTGTCTCTCTACCTATTTTCCTCCCTCCAAACTTTTCTACACTTGAATTTCAAGAGCGAGAAATATCTCACATGGGGGGAGAAAGGCCTGTATCAGTGACTTACCCAAGCAGTGAAACTATATTCTGGGGACCGTTATTTAATCGAACCATGTGCACATTTTGTATCTGTAAATATATGTTAATAATTTATGTTAATGATATTTAGAATGATTGAAAGGAGTATAGAATCCCAGATCACCAAAGTAATATTTTCTCTATTTTACAAAGCAGAAAAATATATTGAGTTTTTACTGTTTTATACTTATGTCCACACCAGAAGCCTCTGTACCCACCCTGTAACCCCTAAGATCTCTCTTACCTCTTCTCTGTTACCATTATCTTACCTTCCAGCCTTCTTTTTAAAACTCGGGAGAGGGATGAGAGGAGATCATCGTAACTCCTGCTTAAACGGCTGCTGCCTCACCTTCCTGTCTCCAGGCTTGGTTTTCTCCCACCCCAATCATCCATTTTTCTCCATTTTGCCTGAGTAACGACCTTCCTAAAGCATAAATCTGACCATATGACTGCTCTTAAAACCAATTTCTCCAAAGCCCCCGAACCGCGCACTGATTAAAGCCCAGCCTTCTCTAGGGCGCAGAGGGCCCCTGCCTGCCTGGTGCCGGTGCGCTGCTTCCTTGAGCAGGCCTCGCTTCCTGTCCCGCAGGTGGGCGCTGTGTCTGCCTGGGCCTGACCTTACTCCTTAAGGACAGACAGTGGGCTCTCCCCCTGTCATCCCTCTCACCCCTTTCCTCGCGCTGTGCCTGACAAGGGATCGGTGCTAACGGTGCTAACGCAGTGCTTCTCAAACTTTCAGGAGCATGGGCATTTCTCAGGAGGTGTTAAAATGCAGGAGGGTGAATCCCAAGAGTCTTCCTTTCTAACAAGTTTCTGATGATATTAATGACTCTGGATAGCCCACACTGAGTAGCAAGGTGCTAAACTGTCTCCTGTAGACCCATGGATGATTTCAACACCGAATTTTGTTAAAAATCCAGTGAAATCAGTGCCTCTCCGTGTCAAGTTCAGGTAAAGCACAGCTGCAGATAATGAAGATGAAAGAAAACTATAGCTAAAGAAAAAAATAGTGAACTGTTGCAGATACCAGGACATTTATTGTCACATTATTACTGGAACGCTTGTCTAATATTGCAACAATTTAATATATTTAAAATGTGTATTTTTGGTCTGTGCAGCATTAAATGTCTCTAGAGAGCTGATGTCATGTTTCGTGTGTTTGTTTTCAAACACTCATTATTACAGGAGTTCTCCTGGATGTATAGGGACTAAAAAGTACATTCTGGCTTCTGTCTCTTGCCAGGGAAATGTCTGACAGTTATTGGCTTTTTATGGTATCAGAGTAAAAGTAATTAATCGTCTCTATTTTACTATAATTTGGTATCTGTTCAGTGAGTAATCGTACACACTGCCTGGTTGGAGGTAAAATTGGCAGCAGGGACGAATGTTTAATGGATAAAATACTACTTTTATCAGGCCATAAAATTACTGCAGTGACATCAGAACTTGGCAGCCTCTTTTATTCCAGTAAAA